ATTGTTGTTTATCAGGAGGACCGGTTCCTCCTGTTTATTCCCCAAGCTCCTGGCATTGGTATACAGGTAGGCAAGTATCCCATTAAGGGCCCTTGCCTTCCCCACAGATCGTTCCGGGGCTAGGGTAGGGATGAGTTCCCTTCAGTGCCTTAGACTGCTGGATTTACAAAAGTTGACCATTGGGGTTGCAGTGGCGGTAATCCCCCCATCCTCCATCAGGCTTAATTTAAAGCCCAGTCGAGCAGGTCAGCCAGTCTAGCTGAGAAGAGCCTCCTCCCCAGCGGAGTGAGGTGGAGGCTGTCTCTCCCCAGCAGACCACTGCCTCTGTCACCAAAGAGCGGACTGTGATTGTGGAAGCCAAAGCCTTCATGATTACACCAGCACTGCAGTCTTTGGTTAACTACCTAGACCCATTTCTCCCTCCTCAGCCCATGACCCACAACCAGGAGGAGCAAGGAAAAGACCATCTGTGCCCCCAACCCCCTAAGCCCTGCTCCCAGAGCCCTGTAGTCTCTCATGACCCGGCTGGAATTGCTATGAGCCATGTCATTTGTGCCCGCATGGATGAGGACCATAGGGTAGCAGTCGGAGGGCTGGAGAATCTTTGGGATCATCTCAGCTATGTCCCAGATGCGGGCCCCTGGGAAGTAGCAGACCTTCTGGGCTAGGGGGTTGGGGTGACAGATTGCCCCCTCAGTCCCCCTCAGGAGGGAGTCTCCCATGATGAGCACTCTGCATTTCATCTTAGGAGGAGTAGGGGTGGGTGATCCTCCCTTGCCTGTAGGAGATGGCATCTCTGCAGGCTCTACTGGGGTTGCAAGAGGTTCGTACCTGTTGCAAAGCCCCAGAGGGGAGGGGACCTTGGTGCAGCAGGCCTTTGGGCCCTTGACCACCTTGGTCCAACCCCCTGGCTGGACAGTACAGGGAATCCCTGAGTTCTCCCTTGACCTGGAAGGTGACCTTGATCCACCCTCCACCTCCAGGGGGTGAAGGGCCTGGCAGTAGGAGTCAATCTCCTGCTCGCCATCCCTGATGGCACTTATTCTCTGGACTGCAGCCTGGAGCTCCTCAATCTAATGCCCCAGAGACTCCAAAGTGGAGCAAACCCCGCACGGTGAGGTGGCCATACTCCTGGTCCCATGAGCCTGGAAACGTGCCAGGCAGCCCCCACAGCTGAGAGCCAGGGGCTCCATCTGCATGGAGTCCAGAACCATGGGTTCTGTCTGGGTGGAGGCCTCTGTGGTGCCAGAGGGGGAGACTGCAGACTCCCAGGGGACCCTCAGGTTGCAGTGTGTGTCCATCCACATCGAGCTGCTGGGAGTCTGGCTACTGATGGGACAAGCCTCAGGCCCTCCCACTTACCCTCCTGCACAAACTCCCACACTAACTCATGTGCCAGGCAGACAAGTATGTCCGTTTGCGTGGCCTGTTCGCGAAGCTCTGGTCGTGTGGTTCCCTTGGGGGCTGAGTGAAGTAGGACCCAGGGCAGAGTGAGACCCTCTTCTGCTCCTCTCAGCTGTCTCCCCACAGCTCAGCTGAGCTAGTTGCCTCCCACCACGGGCCCCTCTTACCTCTGGCTGTGTTGTGGGTTGGTGGTGGCACTCTGTAGCTGTAAGGGGCCTGGGAGGCTTTGGGGTGCGGGGGTGCAACAGGCTTTCACTTGTGTATCTTGTGCCACTCTCGGAAGCCAACTGGGTTTTTTTTTTTTCCTTTGGTAGGCCCTTTTAAACTATGTGCATGCGCAGTGGGCCTGCCACCAGCACCATGCTACTCCTGGGCAAGGAGGGGACCCTACCTGGGATTTGGGGGATGCTACCTCACTGGAAAGGGACCAGTGAGTAACCTCTCCCCCTCTCCTACTCTCTCCCTGGGGGGCTGGCCCAAGTAGGAGCTGGGGTGGGGTAAGACCCTCCTCAGCTCCTCTCAGCTGCCTCCCCACAGCTGAGCAGGGCTAGTCCCCTCCCACCACAGGCCTCGCTTACCTCTGGCTGTGCTGGGGGTTGGCAGGGGCACCCTGCAGCTGTTGGGGTCACTGGGGGGCTTCAGGGTGCGGGGATGCAACAGGTTTACACCTGTGCATCTTGCGCCGCTCCCAGAGCCCAACTGGGTATTTTTTTCCTTTCAGTCTTTCCTCATGTCATACTCCCCAGGCCTCTAATCATTTTTGTTGCTCTGCGGTGGATTCTTTCCAATCTGCCCAGTGGTGGTGGCAAGCCCTCACAGTCCAGAATGATCACTCCAACAGGTCAAGTAAAGGGTTGTAAATAAGTCTGTTGATGGCTAAGAAGGCCATTCCTAGAGCTGCAGGCTCTCTGGCAAACACCAGAGATGGTGGTTAAAGGGAGGGTCGGATCATGGACTCCTCAGTCTTGTTTCATATCCTTCCATTTTTGTCATTTTATGCCTCTAGAGTGAAACAATTTTCTTCAAAGTAAGATGTACCTTCTATCAAAAAGTGACGTGTAGTCCTGTTCCAAGCTAGTTTTTCCATTTTGTGGTATCAATGCCACTCTCTTTGATAGAACGAGGAACAATGGTCTCAAATTGAAGCAAGGAAAGTTTAGGTTAGATATTAGGAAAAACTTTGTCACTAGGTGGGTGGTGAAGTACTGGTGGGTGGTGGAGTACCTAAAGAGGTTGTAGAATCTCCACCCTTGTAGGTTGTTAAGGCCCAGCTCAACAAACTCTGGCTGGAATGATATAGTTGGGGATGGTCATACTTTGAGAAGGGGCGTGGACTAGATGACCTCCTGAGGTCCCTTCCAACCCTAGTTTTCTATGGTCTTTTAATTCTGTGCAAGCCTCATGGATGGTGGAAGAAGGATCTGGGAGTCATTATTGACTCCAAGATGAACATGAGTCGGCAATGTGGGGAAGCGGCTAGGAAGGCCAACTGCACCTTGTCGTGCATCCACAGATGCATCTCGAGCAGGTCCAAGGAGGTGATCCTCTCCCTCTATGCAACACTGGTCAGGCCGCAGTTGGAGTACTGCGTCCAGTTCTGGGTGCCGCACTTTAAGAGGGATGTGGACAGCATCGAGAGGGTCCAGAGGAGGGCCACTCGTATGATCAAGGGACAGCAGGGTAGGTCCTATGAGGAAAGGTTGCGGGACCTGAACCTGTTCAGCCTTCAAAAGAGAAGGCTGAGGGGGGATCTTGTGGCCTGTTATAAACTAGTTAGGGGGGATCAGCAGGCGCCGGGGGAGTCCCTGTTCCCCCTAGCGCCGCGAGGAGTGACCAGGAACAATGGTCACAAGCTGGCGGAGGGAAGGTTTAAGGTGGACATCAGGAGGCGCTACTTCATGGTCAGGTTGGCTAGGGTCTGGAACCAGCTTCCATGTGAGGTGGTGCAGGCTCCCACCCTGGGGGGTTTTAAGAGGAGGTTGGATGACCACCTTATTGGGGTCATTTGACCCCAGTGCTCTTCCTGCCATGGCAGGGGGTCGGACTAGATGATCTGCTCAGGTCCCTTCCGACCCTAGAAACTATGAAACTATGGTATCCTTTAGAGCTTGCCAATCTTCCTCAACACAAGTGTTATTATTTTCAGTCTTAAGATTGGTGAGTTTCTTGTTGAGATATGTTTAGAGGGCTTCACAATGTTTAGGGGTCTGAAGGCATTTGATGTTGTACTGTCTTCAGGCCAATTTGGGTTGCTTTTGATGTTTCAGTACAACCCTAATGGACATGATGGATCTCAATAAGCGATGACTGGTCCAGCAGTCACTGGCTTTTCTCACAATACGTGTGATATGAACATCTTTTAGATTAGGTGCTCTTACAGTGATGTGATCAAGGAAATGCCATTGTTTTGAGTGGGGGTTTTACCATGTTGTTTTATGTATGTTACATTGTCTGAAGATAGTGTCAGTAATGGCAAGTTCATGCTCTGCACATTTACTGAATGAGAGGAAGCTGTTGGAATTGGCCTTTCTAATGGTTCCCCTCCACATGTTAAAGTCCCAGCCAACTATCTCATTGAAATTTCCAGAGGATGATCTTATCCTATTTTGGGATGATAGTCAGCATTTCAACAAGGTGAGAATAAATCTGTTATTGCTATTCTTCCTCAGCATCATGTGCTGGAGCAGTAGCAAATGAATTGCTGGTCAGTTGGAGTGGAGAGTCATGAGGCGCTCGTTAATGGCAACAGGGAATTTGGTCATTTGGCTGACAATCTGATTTTTCATGGCAAACCCAATGCTGTGTTTTTGCCTGTCGTTTTCAGGTTTCCCTTTCAAGAAGAATGTATAGCCACCCCCCTCCTCCCTCAGATGGCCTTCATATGAATATCTGGTCTTGCAGAGACCAGTGATATCAATGTTGTATTGTGAGAGGTCTCAGGTAACAACAGCTGTTCTACATTCAGATCTGTCACTGCTCAGGTTGTCTAGTAGAGTTTGTACATTAGAGGATTCAAAAGACATTTTTATGTTTCAACCACAATTTGAGTGATCCTCCTGGAAGCAGCTATCCAGTCAGGTAAGATAAGGTGGGGAGTCTATGTTAGTGGTACCTTTTCTACCCCCTCTCCCCATGCAGGATGAGCAGAGGGGATCCTAAAAAGGGCTGCTCAGTTGCAAGCACAGCTGCCAAATCATCCTCCTGTCCCATTCCAAGGGTGAAGTGACTTCATCCACCTTCTTCATCTGCCTGCCCCACCATTGAAGTATTTATGTTATGTTGGACTGCTCTTCGCCTCATACCTCACCTTTGACCTTTCTACCATGGGAGACCCTACCAGGAGTACAAGACTCCTAACAGTGTTGCTCTTAGGGTCATCGGTACATGCAAGCCTCTCCACCCTGTCAAGTGGAAGTCCATGGAGAGGACTACCAATCTGTCCATATCCTTCCTGAAGTGTAAGGCCCAAAACTTGACATAGTACTCCAGAGCCAGGCTCACCACTGCTGAATGGAGTGAATGAATCACTCCCTTGCAGGTGTTGCTCCCATTAAAACAATTCAATAAGCTGTTGGCTTTCTTAGTAATAAGAGCACATTGGCTCATATTCATCTTATGGTCCACTGTAACCCCCAGGTTCTTCTCTGCAATACCACAGCCAATAACTTGTGCATACAGTTATTCTGTCTCAGGTACAGGACTGTGTATTTGTACTTACTGAATTTCATCTGGTTGATTACAGACCATTTATCCAGTCTATTCTGGTCATTCTGGATCCTAGCCCTACCCACCAAAGTACCTGCAACTCCATCCAACTTGGTGACATCTGCAAATTTATTAAGTGTAAACTCAGTCCCAATGTCCAAATTATTAATGGAAATATTAAACAATACTGAACACAGAACAGACCCCTGGAAAACCTCACTTGACACCTCCTCCCAATCAGGCATTGATGACTACTCATTAAGCCCAGTGATCCAACCAGTTATGTAACTGTCAAACAGTACTTTCATGTAGTCTGTATTGCCATAGCTTGTTAATAAGAATGTCATGGGAGACGGTATCAAAACTCTTGCTAAAGTCAAAGTATATCACATCCACTGTTTTCCCCCACATCCAGAGCTGGTCACATTAACATTCAAGAAAATCAGGTTGGTCAGGCATGACTTTCTCTTGGTGAATCCATGCCTGTTCCTGATCAGCTTGCTTTCATTTAAATGATTTACAACAGATTCCTTGAGGACCTGTTCCATTATCTTTCCAAATATTGAGGTCAGGTTCACTGGACTGTAATTCCCTGGATCCTTTTCCTTCCATTTCTTAAAAATGGACACTATGAGCATTTTTACACATGCATGCACTGCAGCACCAGGTGCTCTGAAAAGTGCCCAGTGCTGCCTCGTTGCAGTTGTGTAAGTGGTGAAATGCACATTATCATGCAGAAAATGGCAGTGGTCTGCTTTTGAACTAAAACACATAGAAGGCATTTTAGTTCAAAAGTGCACCACAACCATTTTCTCCTCATCGATGTGCATTGTGCTGCTTATGAAACTGCAAGCGATGCAGTGCCATGAGTGTCAGCTCACGTGTGGAGCAGACTCAATTAATCGAGTCTGCTTTGACATGCCAGATCTCCGGCACTTCCGGGCACAAAAATGTATGTGTATAAATTCCCTATAGGTGTTTTAATATGTGACCTGGACGGGGGAGGAGGGGCTTTTATTTAGAGCAGCTCTGAGAGATGCTCTAATTAAAGTGCCCACAGCATCTTGTGTATCAGCATCCCTGTGCTTCAGAACAGCACTGCTCTAATTAAATGGAGCTGCTTTAATTAAAATGCCCACAGTGCTTTGTGTATCAGTGTCCCCATGCTTCAAAATGGCAGCAGATGCACTTTAACTAGTGCTTGACAAACATGTCCCCACCACCATTTTGAACCACAGGGACACTGATACACGAAACACAGAGGCTGGCTGGAGCATGCTAATTATCACGTTCCAGCAGATTCAATTAATTGAGTAAAGGCACCCTATATTTGTCTTTTTCCAGTAATCCAGGACCTCACACAGCCCCCATGAGTTCTTAGAGGATAGCTAATACCTCTGAAATTACTTCAGCAAATTCCTTCATTACCCTAAGAAGGAATCCCATCTGACCCTGATGACTTGAAAGCATCTAGCTTCTCTAATTAATTCCTGACCTGTTCTGTCATTACCCTGAGGTGTTAGACTCCTTCCCTATCTTTGCTGCCAACTGTGCCAACTATGCTCATCATTTGGTAGTTGCCCCTAATTGTGAAGACCAAAGTAAAAAGGGCACTAATTATCTCACTCTTCCTGCATCATCCCTATGTCATTGCCTTCTACGTTCTGTAAGGGACCTATGGTTTCTCTGGTCTTCCTCTTACTTTTGACATTCTTCTAGAATCCCTTTTTACTGCTTTTTAGTTCTCTTGCCAGTTGCATCTAAAATTGTGCCTTGGCCTTCTAAGTGTTTTCTCTGCACACCTCTGCAACAGTCTTATACTCGTCCCTAGTAAAATCAAGTTTCCACTTTTTTAAGATTCCTTTTAAACTTATTGAACAGATTGCTGCCTACCCTGGCTGATCGCCTGTTGCACTTTCCATTCTACTTTCACAAGAAGATAGCTTGCTCCAGTGCCTTTAAAAGGGCCTCTTAAAAGTACAGCCAGCTGTCCTTGTGGTAAGGGCCCTATCTAGGACAGCCATCATAGCGGACATTCCAGTTTTCTGCTACTCTGTCCTCTATTGACACAAAACCTGATGCCTTTATGTCCTCTGTTTTTCTCTTCAAGACATAAAGGTGTCTGGTTTTGTATCAACAGAGGACAGAGGACAACAAGATTGTCCTTTATGAGGACCACCCTAGTCCTAACTGGTAGCTCAGCCTGGGTAAACTTCTCAGCTGGCCAAACCTTCCTGCACCTCTGAATGGCAGCCCTCCCTAAGCTAATGAACCAGCAGAGCACTACTGGGGCCTCCTGATTGCAGCAGCCCCCACATTTAGTTACACCTGCTGCAACAGGTTGCAGGCCAGCCAAGAGGTCTTCTGAATGTCTGTTGTACTAAATCTTTCTCTAGTTTTCTCCTGCCTGACCCTGCTCGGCTGAGTTTCTGGACTCTGGCTACTTAGAAAATACCCTTGGCTTTGGTAATTTGATCCTTAACTCCTGATCTTTGATTCAGCCTGTGATTTGAATTCTACTTATGGATAAATAGTAGATACTCTGGAGAATAATACTAGGATTCTGAGAAACCTCAACATATTAGAGGATTGGACCAAAAGAAATCTCACGAGGACAAAGTGTAAAGTCCTGCACTTAGAGTACAACAATCCCATGCACCGGTACAGGCTGGGGACTGACTAGCTAAGCAGCAGCTCTACAGAAAAGGACCTGGGGATTACAGTGGACAATAAGCTGAATAGAAGCCAATGGTGTACCCTTGTTGCAAATAAGACTAATGGCATACTGGACTACATTAATAGGAGAGTTGCCAGCATATTGGGGGAATTTATTCCCCTCTATTTGGCACTGGTGAGGTCACATCTGAAGACCTGTGTTCAGTATTGGGCCCCCGCTACAGAAAGGATGTAGACAAATTGTAAAGTCCGGTAGAGAGTAATGAAAATGGTTATGGGGCCGGGGAACATAACTTCTGAGGAGAAACTGAGGGAACTGGGTTTATTTAGTCTGCAGAAGAGAAGACTGAGAGGGGATTTAATAGCACCCTTCAACTACCTGAAGGATGGTTCCAAAGAAGATGGAGCTAGGCTGCTCTCTGTGGTGGCAGATGACGGAACAAGGAGCAATGGTCTCAAGTTGCAGCAAGAGAAGTTTAGGTTAGATATTAGGAACAAATCTCTCATTAGGGGGATAGTAAATCACTGGAACAGATTACTCAGAGATGTTGTGGAATCTCTATCCATAGAGAGTTTTAAGATCTGGCTAGGCAAAGCCCTGGCTGGGATGATCTAGTTGAGGTGGTTATGCTTTGAGTAGGGGGTTGGAATAGATGAAATCTTGAAGTACCTTCCAACCCTGATTTTCTATGATTCTATAATTCCTTGATTGCACTTGGACCACAAATTCTTCCTGCTTATTCCCCATGTTTCTTACATTAGTATATAAATAAATTATGCATCTAAGGGTCTTGTTATACATTATAATTATGCTTGTCAAAGTGGTAATTAGTGTTAGTGTTAGCTTGATTTCAGAGCAGTCACACATTCAGGTGAGCAGGGGCTTTGAGGTAAGAATCCTCTCCTACTCCCTTCCTCTCCCATTCCAGGCTCCCCTTCTTCTCATTGCCTCCCAGGGCTCCCCCTGCCCCAATCTCTCAGGTTCCACCCCCCCGCTCACCCCAACCATGGGACTCCCTTCTTGCACCCCTGGCCCTCATGGCTCAGCTGTGACCATCTCCCCCAACTTACTTGTGGCTGCTGGCACTATCCCAGAGGATCAGGGAGAGAAGGGGAACCCACCTGCCCAATCACCTCTGCTACCACAGCTGTTCTCTGGACTGAGCCAAGCCCAGAGAGTGGCAGCAGTGTTGGGTTTCCCTTCCCTAGCTGCTCCCTCAGGACAACATTGACAGGCATGGGAGGGCAGGTGGGAGTGAAAGGGGATCTGGGGTGCTAGGTGTGTGGGGGATAATAGGCCCAATCTGAGGGATGGGTTGGGGGAAGTCAGTCTATTCAGGTTGATGGGGGATGGTGGTGGGGACCAGCAGTCCTTATCCAGACCAACTGGGGAGAGGTGATAGTGGGGGAAGGCTGCCCAACCTGGGGGAGGCAGGACATAGGCAGCAGGGCCGATCCAGACTGGTGTGGGAGGCAGGTGGGGTGATACATTAATATGTAACCTAGACTGGCCACATACTAGTGTAACACGAGCTGGATAACACAGATCACAGGTAAACCTAGACTGGAGTGGTATAACTTTAAGATGCCTAAAGGGTGCTTAAAACCAGTTTCATGTGTTAATGTATGGACAGGCCTGGGGTTAAGAGGTTGTTGAGCTGCCTAAAATTTATGTGTAACGAAGCCCTAACTGATAGTCCTATCTTCCCCCTGAGAATATTACTAAAACTTCCTCTACTGCTTCCCCTTAATAAGGCCCTCTGGTTATTTACTTAGAGATTTTCAGTTCTCTAAAATTAACTTCATCAGGTCACTCTGACATGAATGCATTCAAGCTTATCCAAAGGTCTCAGACAATTTCTTCTGCTATCTCTACCTTCAGCTTGTCCCCTTCCTTATCCAGACAATCCTTATTAGCTGTCTGGTTGCATTTTACTTTTGGTGAAGAGTCAAAACTCCTATTGACCATTTTTGCATCTTCTGTTAAGAAATCACCCCAGTTATTTATCAGTGGACCCATAGGTTGCTTGATCTTTTTCTTCGGGCTAACATTTAATGAACCATTTCTTGTCCTTGATTTCCTTCTCCTAGAAGCTTCTTGCACAGCCTCTTGCCATTCTTCTTATGCTTTCACTATGTTGGAGTAGCTTCTTGTTGGGCTTCCAGTACTGTGACCTTTAGAAGTTGCTAGCCTGCTTGGGGGCTTTCAATCTTCTGTCTGTTCTCCCATGGCACCCTGCCTATCTCCTTGGTTGATGGAAATCTGACCTTTTGAAATCTAGTGTCTTAGTTCTTCTTACCTCATGTTTTCCCTTCCTCAGAATCATGAATTCTGTCTTACCACGGTTACTTCCTTCCAAGCCTCCCCTCACCATTACATCCTCCACCAATTCTTCCCTTTTGGTCAGGACCCAACTCACATGCTTAACTTCCTGAAATAGGAAGTATTTCTCCCCTCAAGTTAGGAACTCAATAAACATTTTACTGTAATTTGTCACATACCATGCTCCCTCCTCTCTCCCCTCCTCCTCATCGCACAACCCCAAATAAGACAAGCACCTTGTTTTTGGAAGGCAGAATAAAGAAATAAAATATTTTTTCCTTGAAAATAGAAAGTAATCTTTGCTTTGAACTGGCACTGTAATTAAGTTACATTAAGTAAGCTGCTCTGTTAATCCCCTAGCTGGAGGCTGTACTGCCTCCCTTCCCCCCGCCCCCGAAATTAAGAAGCAGGGCCAGCCAGTTCAGCTCCAGCAAGATTGATCCCTCAGCTGATGCCACCAGCTGAGTAAAACTGTCCCACCAAGAATGTGGATGAAATAGGCATTGAGCTTATTCCTCCCTTTGATGTCATGGGGACTTTTAAACAATAAAAACTGAAAAAAATGCAGATCATAGTCTCATTTAGCTTCCCTGTTTAATTTTATATTTTTCTTTAGCTAGAAATTTAGAACTATATTCTTCAGTTGCCATAATAAGGTTCTTTTGTGACTTTCAGTCACAAGCTAAATTTAAATGTCCATTCCACACATTGAGCAAGAATCCAGTACAGAGGAAGTAAAATGAAATGTAAAGGTGCTACTCCCCAAAACTGCAAGATTCTATAATAAGAGATATTTTAGAATACTTCAGCAATTTATAAAATGTTAATTACTAGCTGATTGAAATGAGCAGCAGCAGGATGGAATACATTACTTTAGGTGAAAGCTTTATGGCAGTTTTTGTTAAATTCAAGATGATGAATAACACTAGATAAAAATGGAATGATCTTCTGTGATTATTAGCATTAATCATTATCTGTTGCCTCACCACTGGGCCTGCTCAGAGATTTTGGTACTTACAGTGGAGTTTCTTTTAAAAAAGAGCATCAATCAGGATGCAAATGCAATTGACCAGGAGGGAGGGACATCTCCCTCTCCCCTCCTGAAAAAGAATGGTTTCCATGGTACATAGGCTATACTCCAGCTGGCCCTCACTGGCTGTATAAAGAGATATGTTGGAAGACAGAACCCATCATGCTATGCAGATGCTTTATTCTTGGTGAACAGAACCATATAGATAAAGGAGAACATCGACGTCAAGCGCATTGCAACTGGCACTCTGGCATGCACAGAAACAGGCAAATAGACCAATGTGGTTTCAGGAGTTTTTGTCACACCTGCTTGACCATCTGAACTCTAGCTATGAGAGCTCTGCATCTGTAAAGATAACTTCCTGCCAATTTCTGAGTTGGAATCAAGGCAGCCATTATGTACCAGCTACACTATCCAATTATAATTGAGAAAGATAATATGGATATTAGGGAAATGAAATGTAGCTAGCCAAACAGGAACCTTGCTAAAGTAGGATAAAGCTCCTTGTCACTAGGACAGGTGCCATGGGATTTTTCATATACATAAGCATCAAGACCTTGACTTAACCTCTCATCCAGAAGCTCTGGCAATTGCACTGCTGTCCCTATTACTCTGAAATAGCTTAATTACAGTACCAGTTCAATGCAAAGATTACTTTCTATAGAATCATTAGCAACCAGCTAATGTAGCTCACAGAGTGGCATCTTCCCTAGCTCCCTTTGTGTACCTAAATTACAGTTTTCTAGCCACATTCCTGTGCTCTCACTACTGTATTGTAGATGTGTGTACATGCATGTAAAGATTTAGTATGTGCCACTGCCACCCCCAATAGTAGGCTCCACCCTATGCTTCCCCTCCCGTGAATTCCCAACTCCTCTAAGAACCCATAGGCCAAATGACATAGCTCCATGGGCTGAATCCAGCCTGCAAGCCATATGTTTGATATACCTGAGCTGGAGTATGGCCCTTGACAGGGAACAATGGGCTTGGGCATCTTACTCCAGGTAATGGTAGGGGATAACGATGCAAATAATGCCTATTTTCCACATCTGGGGTTGGGTAAGCCAAGATGCTTCTAATCCTAAGGCAGAGTTGGTGCCTGAATCCAACTGTACAATGACACAAAAATGGATTCAAAACATTTTTTAAATGCTTGAGTGCTATCTGAACAAAAGTAAGATTCCTAAAAATTGTCACTTAAACCAAAAAGTCTGATGTAAAAAACCTACAAAAAGTATGGGTACAGAACAATGGTCATGGGATCCAGAAGTTTGCTGTAGAAATAGAAGAACCAAAGCAGCTTTAGGTCACCTGACCCTTGATAGCTTCATTTGTGAATATCTGGTGCTATGAAATGGGTTTTGTGCAGTCCCAGTGGACACAGTTCTTGTACCGGATCCATAAAGCTTTGGCATTGAGAGGCTTGCATTCCACAAGTGGTATTTTCTGTGGGTTCCTGATAATAGAATGTGCAACTATTCTATACACACATAGAACTGCTTATCTGGATACTGTAGTTCCTGATTTGGTAGCTTGTCTGGTTACTATAGCAGCCACATGAGGGAGGCCAGAACTTCATCTGAGATGTTGACATACCTGGTTGAAGTTATCAAGGGCCTTGTGAAGGTTGGCATGCATCCCTGTCGGGGGTTCATTAGTGATTTTGATGGAATTCTCCAGGATTCCTTGGGGAATAATGTGGCTGTCAACTGAAGGTGCAGGCTCGGCACTAATGAAAACACGAAATTCCTGGTGGCTGCCTTCACTGTGCTGCTCAAGTTTTTTCTCAAGAGAACTCAGCCACTTGGCCACCAGATGGATATTCTAGCAGGAAAAAAATGGACAATGCTTTAACTGCTGTCATTTACATCCACAGTGAACAGCCATCAACTATATTGTACAGATGAGTTAAAGCCCATGCTTCAGGCTGTATAAGTTTATACCTTTTCTAATAGTTCTCAAGAGTGTAATTCATATGCACAGACATGTACTGCATATAAGGGATGAAGATCTGAAATTCAAAATAATCATGACCAATAACCAGCAATTAGGAAAACAGTTCTGAGTCTGTGTTTTCTTAGGGATAATAACTTGATGTTTCGTACAATATTGTATGGCTGTTGGAGTAACAAGTTTCCTCAGTGATCTGAAATGAACGTGCTTAATTGTTTTCAGTATAATAACGATGGTCACCCTTAATATCAGTGGGCATGTCTACATGTGCAAATAATGTGAAATAATAAACTCTGGAGTAGTTTGAGCCAGAGTAAACTACTTCTGGGTACAGAATCTACATGGGCACCTGGGGCAGTAGCAATTTGAGCCAGTGCAGAGCAGGCCTGGGATGGCAGGGGACACAGAGGGCCAGGAGGAGAGTCCAGCTGCTGTTTGCTGGTGCCACAGTTTAAAGAGACAGAAGTCATTGGCTTGTGAAACCTCATATACCACATGTGAGGCAGGGAGGAAAGTAAGGCACAACAGGTTAGGTCATGAGTCTGTCTTTTCAAACTTAAAGCAAGGATCCTTTCACTTTCTCCAGCTAAGGGTGATGTTACACATTACACCTATCTAAACTTATATACGGGTGTGCTCTTGGTTATAGTGGTATAAATCTGGTGCACCTCTCCCAGAAGCAGATCCAGGCTTTTACAAAGGGTGTGCAGAAGCACCAATGAACACCACAGGGGTACTGGCACCCCTACACTCCCAGCTTTCTCACACTCTTCCCCCAACTCAGGTGGACAGACCACATCATGGGAGCAATCCAGGACTTAAGTCTCAAAGAAAGTAAGAATGCCCCTCTTCTTCCCCCCTCATGGTCAGGACACATCCCCTCCCCTTCTGCCCTTCCATGCCTGCTGCTGCTGCTGTCCCAGGGGCATGGGAGCTCCTGTTCTGCTCCAACTGGGCTAGTGTGGGGGGCTAAGCTCAGTCCAAAACAGCAGCTGCTGCTGCCACTGTCACTGTCCCAGCTAGAGCCTAGACCCTGCACAGCCCAGCTGCAGTGGCACAGGAGCTCCCATTACCCCTAGGGACCATGGGACAGCAGCAGCAACAGGTGAGGAAGGGGGAATTGGGAGTGGATGTCCTTCTGATCCCTGGGAAAGGGTGTTGGGAGGGGATTCTTACCTTCTTTTCAGAGGGCCAAGAGACACTCGAGCCCCACCATGGACTGTGTAAAACTCCTACACTACAGCCTGTGTTACTAGATCAACTGCATTTAATACAGTAAGCAGGGCCAGCTCATCCCCAGCCCCTTCCTTTTGATTGGTTCTGGAGCTGCTTTTAAGGAACTCCTCCAGCATCTGAGCTTTCCCGCACAACTTCCTGATCTCAGTCCTTGCAAAGCTCCTGTCCTGGTAACTCCTCTAGCTCTCTGTCTCCCTGATATCTGGTTAACTCTCTGATTCAGTGTTTGGACTTCAGTTGATCTCAGCTTGCTTTCTGACCTCTGATCCTTAGTTAGTTCTCTGGTTTGGTTTCAGACTCTGAGCTCCAGCCCTCACTTCTTGTTTGGAACTTGGGCTGCCCTCAGTTGCTTCCAACCTGCAGTTCATCCCTGCAACCCTGGCAGTCCTCACTCCTGGATGTACCCACTAGGGCTGATGCTCTTGGGAACCCTGACAGGTAGTAGGAAGAATCTGTGATGAGTTCCACATTTGGCCAGGGACAACAGTGGCAGTGAGTAGGTTCCTCCTTACAGGGCACGTCTACACATGCATTTACTCCAGCCTAGATTTACTGTACAGTAAACTACTGCACAGTGGGTGCATCTACATGTGCCCCAAGGCACTGTGTTACTGCACCGTCATTTAGTAATTTCTTTTGGAAGTACTAATTAATGGCACAGCCATAGCCTATACTACACTGTGCTACATTGCCATAGCAACACACTATAGCAAAGGAACACATTGCTACACCAGCGTACCTGCAGCATCATGGTTTGTGCCTGCTGATGCTATGTCACTGTAGCGCATTGCTATGGCAGCATAGCGTCTTGTGTAGATGCTCCCAGCAAGGGTTTTTGGGTAGGTGTCTACACATGCGGGATTAGGAAGATTTACTCCCAGGTCCCTGCAGCCCTGAAATGGATCCCTACCACCACTGGGGGAGATCCAGGATCCCCCTGGGTGCTAGCCCAGGGGCTCACACGGTGCACTGACCCAGGAGACAGCTGTCTCCTGGCCCCAGGGGATTGTCTGCTGCTGGGGAAGGGACAATGTACCCCTGCCCTGGCAGTAGGGAGCTCCTGGCCCTGGCTCTCCGATCACAGACATCGGGCTTGGAAAGAGCTGTAGGAAAAAGGCAGGTCCCAGGCCCCTTCCCTGATTCATCAGTGGGGCAGCCAGGAGCTAGCTTGCTGCTAGCTGCCCCACTGGCAGATCAGGGCAGGGGACTGGGACCTACCCAACCCCTGCAGCTGTTTCCAAGCCCTGTGCCTTGATCACCCAAATGGGGCAAGGGACTGGCACTTGTCCCTGACTGGAACAGCTCCCAGCCAGCCCCTGGCTGCACAGGGAAGTCTGCATGTGCAGCCCAGAGCTGGCTGGGAGCTGCCTGAAACAGGACACACCCCAGCCACCTCCAGGCTTCACATGCTTCCCCATATAGCCTGGGGATGGGTGGAAACTGTCCCAGCCAGGGGCAGGTCCCAGCCAGCTCCAGGTTTGATGGGGAACTGTCCCCATGTAGGAGCTCTCAGCCTCTGCTCCGTAATCGCAAATGCAATCAGGGAGTCAGGGCTAAGGAGTTTGTTCCCAGCCCCTGCTCTGCAATGGCAGGGGGTCCCCACCTGGGCATGCAGGGTTGGGGCTGGGAAGCTTGTTCCCTGCTCAGCAACATGAGCGCAGAGCTGGGCGGGGGAAACAGGCTGGGGAGCTTATTCCTGCCCTCCCCCAGCTCCATGCTCCCAGAGCTGGGTGGGGAACAAGCTTCCCAGCTCTCACCAGCAAGGAGTTCTGAGCACTGGCTCCATGACCACAGGGATGCTGGCTCTGTGACCACAGGGATGCAACATTTTAACACAGTCTTTTTGTGCATCTTTTTGTACTGAGCCGACTTTACCAGTATATAGGAACAAAAGCCGCACTGAGAATATACAGAATGTCAAAACTCAGTATACTTTGCAAACAGAACTGGAGTACAAAAGACTTGTTGCCTTCCAAGCAAGAATTCAGTCTCAGTTCTAAAGCCATTCAACCCAAAACCCCAAGCAGCCTGGGTTTAAAAAGTTCAATGCCTTTGTCTGCAACACAATGGACTTTGTAGTGGCACTTTCCTGGCTAAAATGCATGCAAAGCTTGCTGTATGAGAGAACCCTAAAAAGTCTTTGGAGGTAACAAAACACTCGAGATCAGTTTTTAAAAGCATAGTCACAGCTCCCCTGTGTCTGACCTGGCGGCTCCAGCCACAGCTTGCCCCATCCCACCATGTTCTGAGGGGTGGTGTGCCACATCCCCCTTTAGTGAATCCTGGATCCAATCATGGTAGAAGATGCCTAAACAAAGGAACTGTGTTCTGAGGAAGGAGGTGGGGAATGTACTTTTCATATGAGATAGAACAATGATTAATACAGTAGACAATGCAAATATATGTATCTTGAAAGTTTATGCAGCAGCTGTTTTTCACTGAGTCAAGGTCCAAAATAAAAAGGGATTCTCACTGAATTCAGGCTATCAACAGATTCTAACAATATTATATACACAGGAATTAAGAAACCAATGCACAATCGTAAAGATCTAATATTTTATGGAAAAGTTGCACTAGAAGAAGAAAAACAATATATTTTGCCTTAAATTTCAAAATAAAATGGTTTGAACCCTTATGAATGTAAGGGTTTTGATATATAAACCATGAAGTTTAAAATCATTAAAAAATAAAGTTGAACAATTTTTTTATTTAGTTTGTGTTAATGTCACTAATTAAAATCAATACTTCCTATCCTTTTCAGTATTGATATATGGAACTTTCTGATTTGATGGATAATTGAGTTTAAGTGTAGGGGAAAGAGACTCCAGAAATTCTATTACTAATTTTTCTTTCTTGTTATAATTATTAAACATTACATTAAAGGAGGCGAACAAAGATTGCAAGCAGTAGAACATTTGTTAACGTTAAGGATTCATAGCCTTGGTCAGAAGAACACTCCCACAAAAGAAATAAGTAAATAAGTATTTTTCATAAAACATGGCACCTATGGCACCTTTTCATAGAAAAAGAGGTTTGCAAAGGTGATTTATAACTCTCAAGGGAAATTTGGAAACTGTTCCAAAGAATGAGCCTTTCCCAGCAGCCAGGAGGAAACATATTCAGTTATATTTCTCATAGTGTATGTTGCACCAGTTTTCAATCTTTTTCAGTTCTATAAGTCATAGAACCATCTGAGGGTATTTCGTAGCTTTACAATATGTATTTTTCTCCACCATATTTTGAACTCATGAAAGATTCTTTGAATAAGTCAGGACTGAGGTGGAAGTTTATTTCTCTATATCACATCTAAGTGACAGTTTTTAGCTGTGTAAATGCCAAACTCACATTTACACACAGACAGCAACTCTGTTACCCCTGCTGTATGTGCATATTGACAGAACAAGCACATTAGGATATGCACTGTTCAGGCATATATCCTGGTATGTATGTGCACCTTTTGTGGATGTGTACTAACATCTAAAACAGGGGTGAGCAAAATATGGCCCCACATCCCAATGCATGGGGATGAGCCCCACCCGCTCCTGCCCCCATCCTTGGCCAGCACACACAGCTTTCCAGTAGTGCTGCTTCCAGTGCAGCTACAGCTGCCCAGGTACTGCTTGGCTCCTCATACC